TGTTTGTTTGTTTTAAATGGAGATATGGAAGAGAGTACCTTTGTTTATGTTGGAAATAATAAAGTTACATCATAAGTCGTGGATACCACTCAGACAATAGGAAGACACCAATTGAATTCCAAGACTTCGTTTCATTTGGATATATACACACTAGTGGGTCAGTAAATTAGATGATAGATAGGGAGGGAGGGAGGGAGAGAAAGAGAGAGAGAGATTTCGTTTTTTTAAGACAGGATTTCTCTGTGTAGCCCTGGCTGTCCTGGAACATGGTCTGTAGACCAGATTGGCTTCAAACTCAGAAATTTGTCTGCGTCTGCCTCCTGAGTGCTGGGATTAAAGGCATGTGCCACCACCACCCAGCTAATAAATTACATTTTGTTTTATTCTTTTTAATTTTTTAGGTTCACACTAACAATTCCATGCATGTGTGGGGTGTTTTGTCCCTTTTCACCTCCTGTTGCCATCTCTTATCTCCTCCATCTCCCTCCATAATTCTCCCACTTCGACTGAGTTTAGGGCTTGCTTGAGCATGCATGAGTGTGGGGTTATTTATTGGATTGAGGGGAACTTTTAAGTGGTTACATCCCTGAAGAAAAATGACTCCCAACTTCCAGTAGCTGCTCAGCTAGGTGTGGTGCCTTGTGTACCCCTCCACCATCCATACTAGAATGATCACTGGCTTTCTCATGTGCAGGTAGGGCCCAGCCATGGCAAACTCAATAGAGGCCTGAGTCTCAGATTCCTGTAAGGTTCCAGGAAAGACCACAAACTGAGACCACTCAAGAACGGAACATCCAAGGGGAAAAACACCTAACTGTCTAAAGGAAATTCCCAACGTTCCATCCATAATAGAATCATTGTAGATAGGATCACCTGAGGCTCCTTAGCCCAGCACACACCCACCCCCTTTCACCAGGGCACCCCTAGACAAATGTGAGTCAGTCAGGGGTCCTGAACCTTAGAAATCCCTCACTCCAACCTCTGCTATGATAAAAACCCACCCCAAGTGAGCTCGAGGCTCTCTGATAGCACCAATGTGTTGGACACACAGAGAGTCCGAGTTTGAACTTGAATAAAGACTCTTTGCTTTTACACATAGGATTCAGTCTCTGTGGTGGTCTTTTGGGGGTCCCTGTGATGTAGGAATAGCAGTAAGCACATGTATCATAAGCTCATGAATGCAATGGTCAGGTCAAGTTCAGAAGAGCACTTCATATCACTCCTCCCCACCCTCCAGCTCCACGGTCTGTTTTATGTATATGTGCATCCTGACTGTATGTTTGCCTGGGCACTGGGCATCACATGAATGTCTGGCATCTTTAGAGGCCAGCAGAGGGCACCAGAGCCCTTGGAACTGGAGTTACAGACAGCTCTGAGGCACCAACAGAGTGATTGCTGGGAACTGAACCCATATCCTCAGGAAAAGCAGCCTGTGCCTGTGTCTAGGTCATTTTTCCAGGTCCTCCTACATTCCGTTTGCCCTCCCTTCCATGATGTTCCTTCAGCCTTGAAGTAGGACTGGGGGAAGGAAGGGTATGTTTTGTATAGTCCAGAGGATGCTCTATGATGGTCACTTTTCCATTTGTGTATGAATGGGGTTATTAAATATACCACAAGCCAAAGCAAAAGAAGAAATAACAAATGACAGACAGACAGACTAGAGCAAAACATCATCAAATTGGATACTCAAACACCTAGCATCTACACTGTAGCTGGTTCTGATGCCAGCTAAGTAACGCAGCAGCAACAACGTAGATGAACTTGCCTGTAAGTACAAGGGTAAGCAGGCAAAAGCAAAATTTCTTCCATGTCCTTTTGTCTGGGCTGCTGCCGTCTTCCTGCTTCTGATAATCCAGTCAGGAAAATTCCTCACAGGCTGCCCAGGGGCTTGCTTCAGTTCATTCCAGATGTAGTCAAACTGACAACCAAGAATAACTATGATAATATCAATATCAAATATACAAAAAACAAAATTAAAAGAAAATCCAATGCTTTGATGAAACATAAAGAATTGCATTAAGATGAAAAAAGAACAAAAAAACTGGGCGGGGAGAGAAAACAGTTAATGGGGCAGGGAGTCTGGGGCTGCACCCACACACAGGCACTGTTTCTATTAGCTGTCACATTTAAATGCAACTGGTACTAAGATGACATATACATGGTAATATATCATTGCATTAGGGAGTTACAGCAGTTATACATGGCTTCAACACTAGTCCTCCTGATTATATTAAGAAAACAAGAACCAGAGTGAGAAATGAGAACAATCAATAATAATAATATATTAATTATTATGCTACTGGGTATAATAATTATGTGTAATTATTATAGCAATAATTATATTAATAATATAATAATAATAACAACAATATAATAGGCTTCAATCCCACCATCCCCTTTGAGGTCAGGTATCACCCTGTCTGAGAGACCTCAGTGCAGGTGATAAGCTATTGATCGCTTTTATGAACAAACAAATGCAGGACCGTTGAGGGATCACGCCTTCTTCCCAGAGGAAAAAGAAGGGTTTTACTCTGGATTAGCAACAGGTATCAGCTGGTTTGCTCCAAGTGAGCTATCTAGAGGCTTGGAAAGTCTCAACAGAGGACATCACCAAATGCATAGGAGTTTAAGAAGGATTGATAAGTGTGCAATCAAATGGTGACGTTTCATCCTTATCAAGAAATCAAAGAAAGATACCCAGCTTTGGGAGTGAGAGCCTTCCAAAGATGCCATGAAGTTTTCACAAGAAACGAATCGGTGTTTGTTTGTTTTGTCCATCCAAGGCCAGGCAGGTCACAGTCAAGAAAGACATGCCATGCAGATCCATAAAATCATTAGATACAGACAGCACTAAACTAAAGGAGAAACTGTCTATGGGGACAAAATGGACTAATGGGAGGAGCAGAAATGGGGAGATAAGCTCAAAGTACATTAAATAGTCACATTAAAAACTGCCTTGTGTAACTCGGTTTATTAAACATTTTAAGAATTTGAAGAAAAATAACTTTTTTCCAGTTCTTGATTTATGTCCTATGTCAACCTTAGGAGCATCTCCAGGATTGAGAACAGGAAGATGGAGTTGGAATTCTTGGTATAAAAAAGATGGCCTCAGCACCCTTTTCTGAATGCTGTCCACCCTGGCTATCGGTTTGCAGTGTCCAGTCCTGCAATTATAAACCCACCATGCTCTTCCAGAAGAACAGCTTCCAGAATTCACAATTCCTTGAGAAAATTTAATGTGACTTCCAGAGCTATAACTCCAGGTCCCCAGTTCCCAGCAAAGTCTCATCAAAGCTCTGAAGAATTTGTATTCATCAAAATAGCACAGCCCAGCTCAGAGAAAGTCACCAGCAAGGTCGCCCCTGCCCTGTGGAGCAGGCATAGTGCAAATGCCAGGCAGACCTGGGAAACAGGAACTGCGTGGAGACAGTTCAGATGACGTCAGAGAAAAAAAAAAGCAAAGCAGACTCAAGTCAGACTACACTGTGAGAGATCTTGTGACCACAGTAAAACCTTTTATGCGGTTTACCTATGTTTCTAGTCTACTAAAACACAGCATGAACAGATATATTTTAACTCTGGTTTCTACTCTACAGATTGCTTTTTTTACTTTAATTCAGATACGTCACGCCATCTATTGACAAAGGCGTCATCTCTGTGACTCCATAACTTTGACTTTCTATTTCTCCATCTCTGGGGTTTTACCCCTCCATGTTGAAGCTTCCTGACTTTTTTTTTAACCTCTACCATTAGCCCAAACACCAATTATTCAAAACTGTTTAGAACAGAATGTATGTAGTGTTAGGAGCTACGCTTCATAGAACTTTATTACAGTCATTTGATCTGTCTGTCATCTGTCTGTCTGTTTTGTTGAGAGAACGAGTCACTGCATGTGCAGGTTAGAGAACGACTTGCAAGGGTCAACTCTCTCTTTCTACTCTTGGGTCCCAGGGAGGGGGCTTTACCCACATTACCCACCAGCCCAAACTTCATGTGCACTGTAATCAGGGCAGGTCATAGTGTGAATCTAGTATATTTGCTTGCCCGAATCTTAGCATTCTCTTTATCAAGGTTCCCTTTCTAGGAAGATGCACGTTTCCTGGGGTTTGGTACCTACTCTGGCCTATTTCAGCCTTTCCTCTCTAAATCTACCTTCTCCCCTCTGTGGGACCTTTTCTGGCTCCTCAGGTGACAGGATCCCACCTCCTCCAGCCCCAGATTGCTATCTGTCCCTGAAATCAACAAATACTATTAAAAAAATGCACAGCATTGGTCCCCAAATTCAGAACGGTGACTCAACTCTCTCTCTCTCTCAGATCTATTTATTTGTTTATTATGTATATAATGTTCTGCCTGCATGTATGCCTGCAGGCCAGAAGAGGACACTAGATCTCATTACAGATGGTTGTGAGCCACCATGTGGTTGCCAGGAATTGAACTCAGGACCTTGGGAAGAGCAGGCAGTGCTCTCAACCTCTGAGTCATCTCTCCAGACCTCTTGTTTGTTTGTTCGTGTTTTCAAGACAGGGTTTCTCTGTGTAGCCTTGGCTGTCCTGGAACTCACTCTGTGGACCAGGCTAAACTCAAACTCACAGACAACCTCCTGCCTCTGCCTCCTGAGTGCGAAGATTAAAGGCGCACCACCACTGCCTAGTCTCAATTGTCTCTTAACAGAGCAAAGTCTTCCTAACTTCTTCCCTATACTCTCTAAACAATAGGTGACTGCCAAGGTCTGCCTGGCTGGCTGGTTTTCACTATTATTTGATAGAAAGCTCTTAAAACAAAAGAATAAGTGAGACCCCAATCAAAAGGGAGTCACAATCATAACATATCATTCACTGACTTGGCTCTCTGAGTTTTGTGTGACCTTTGTGACCTGAGAGATCTGACAGGTGTGGCCGGTGTGACAAATATCCAGGCTCACACAGGGCCAACAGACAGTAAGCACCTCTGGGAGGCCAGCACACCCTTCCGCCGCTTGTCTTTTTGTCCCTCCCTAGAGCCTACACTTTGGAGATGCAGAGTATCACGTTGAAGAAAGTGATGGCTACGTGGAGGTGGCCATCTGGAGAAGAGGCAATGACCTTTCTGTAGCATCCTCTGTCATCGTGTGCTCTAGGAGCACAGAGCAACAGCCAGCAGAAGGTGAGAGTCACCAGGAAGAGAAGATCATCACCATTC